CTGCGCTCACACCACCGTGAACTTGCCATCCAACTGAAGTGCCACCGCTTCCGTTGATCTGGCAGGTTACTATACTGGATCTTTACCGAGCTCATTGTGACTATACAGGCCTTGAAAGACTTGTTGAACTGAGTGTTGACGGCGTTGACGGTCGTCTCATCCACATGGTTCACGTAGAAGGACCCCTGAAGCCTCATGGATGACACACATGAATTTAGGAAGGACATGTAATGATACCAGCTGCCAGCTTAGTGTGTGACAACACTTGGATGGGAGAGCAATCTTCGTGACCAAGCTCTTTCAGGTCTTCGGGTACGTCCACAGTCCATGACCTAAACAAAGTACAAAACCCAAGAGATCCATCTCGAGTAAAACATCGTTAGCTTGGGCTTTGGCATGATTCCATTCAGCTTGTCCTCTTCGGGCACCACACGAAATTGATTGGACGGAGTTGCTAGGGATGTAAGCTGAGACAGGCTTTGTGCACGCTTCTCCTGCGACAAGTTTGACTGGAGTTCAGGGTTGTGGTCTGATGGAAAACTAGCCTCTCGGTAAATCTTGCGTTTCTTAGCAGCATCTTCTTTCTTGTCCTGGAAGAAAATACAAAACAATATTGTGCAAGAAGTCAGAGGCAACGTAAACATATGAATACCGACCAACTGCCATCACAAGTGAATATCTCTGAGTGTTCTCCTCCAATTGTCTTTTGGCAGCCTCTTCTTCTTTGCTTTTTTTTGTCGGTCTTGTCTGTCCCTTCATTCCCTGTGATCTTCTGCTTTCGGACTACGGTGATCTTACGCCGAATTGTTTTCTTCGGCGATGAGTCCTTCTGTTCATCTTCTTGGTCCCTCTCCCGTTTCAATTTGGCATCTTGTCTTTCCATCTCTGGGTCCATTCCTGCAGGGGCCTCTTCATCAGCTGATTGATCCGCTGATTCAGCCAGTTCTGGTGCCTGTCCATTCGTTGGTGTTTCTTGTTGTTTGTTTCGCCCCCCTTCCTCTTCCTCTTCCTTTTCCTCTGCCTCGGCCTCTTCCTCCTTTAGTCTCTGCCTCTTCTTTTCGTAGTCTTCTTTGTTCTTCCCTCAAAGCTTTCTGACCCTCCAGAAGTTTCTTGATTTCTTCCTCAGAACTCTCAGCGTCGGTTCGCAGAAGCTCCGGAACTTTTTTGAGCAAAGGCTTTGTGTCCCTGAATGTGCCACTTGTTCTCAAATCGGCACCATCCTCTGGCTCTTCCTCATCATCTTTCCCAAAGTCCTCTTTGAACTCTCCTACCTTTGCCATGCGCTCCTTTTCGTCCACCTGTAGCTGATGTGACAAAGCTCGAGCTGCAACACTGTGAATTTGTTGCTCACGAAATGCATTTTTTGCTTTGTCATCACCTCCAACACTTTCTGCGATGTCACCGATAAGTTTGCGCATTGCCGCAGTTTCCTGGAGTAGCTGAGCCTCTGCACGTGTCCGTGCTGTAATCTTCTTGTCATGTTCGTCCAAGAGAGACTGGAATTCCTCAGCGGACTTCGAATCAGAATTCTGTTTGGCTTCTTCAATTTTTTTTTACATAGTCCATGCGTTGATGCTTTTCATATTCCTCTGTTTTCATGCCATCCACTTTCAGCAAAGACATGAGATGCTGAGCTGTTGCAGTAATTTCTTTCTTCCGAAGTGAATCACTCAGCGTCAGTAATTTCTCCTCCTTCAGCTTTTCTTCTTTTGCCTTTGTCTCTTCGAAAAGCCTTTGTTCTGCTTTTTCTTCTTCTTCTTGTGCCTTCAATCTAATCCGCTCCGCCTCCTTCT